TCCCAAAACCTCTCCCACTGGCAGGCAAGCCATCCTAAACCCATAGAAGTGCTGGGTAGTCAGAAAACAAAGTAGTGAGACTTAATACCAGCTCAGTACTCTGCTCTGCAACCCACTATCTCCTTGGGAGGATCTTGTACTTACTGTGCCCCCACAACCCCAAATCCCCTTCTGTTTGTGACCTCTTCTTGCTGAGTCGATTTCTTCAGGAACTTTTTTAGATACACAAACCCAAATCCATTATAATCCCTTAACCTTTTTCTCCCTTTCAATTCATTTACAGTTATCTCAGTAATTTCTCTCTCCCTTTCTTTAATACCATCTATGAGCTTACGTAATGAAACTAATTACAATTTAACAGCAGTAGATATGATAAAATTTAATTGAGAGAAGGTAAACTACAAGTATAGAAGTAAAATGGAATATAATTGAAAAATCCAGTGCTTGAGTCTATAAAACTTCTGAAAATAGCTAAAAATCCCTTCCAAACTGTCTTTCCATCGCATTGCCCTCTAATTACAATTAAATTTCTCCCTGTCCCCCATGTCCCACCAGTTAGTAACATTTGAAATTAAAAATACACTTAATGTTTTTCTCTTCTGGCTAATTACATAGCAACTATACTGTTTTTATGTACTGCGTGATAAATATTTAGTATTTCAGCTAGATAATGGGTTCACAGCCTTTGATAGACTAGCATAAGACTCTAACCATCATTTATATCATTGTTCTATAAAACTTAAAATTTTGTTTCAAAAATCAGAAACATAATTTTTTCAAGTAGGTAAGTTCCTTCAATTTATTTATTTGAAAGGTGTACAGTGTGTCCTCCAAACCCAATAGGAAAAATTATCCAGTATTTTTCTAGCATTTTACCTAGTAAGGTTTATTATCTAAGCTAATTTCTTTAAACACTACATATTCTCTTTGGGGATTTAAAGTTGACCCTGGAATTGGTTGGGAACTTAGAACATGTAATGAGGTTTTTTTCTGACACAGTCTTAAGGGATGAAAAATTACATAAGTGATGTAACTTATATTAGATTTTCATATGCATGCTTTGATTTTACAAAATAACATCACCATTTCTGAGAAGAGAAATGGTAGCAGAGTTACAGCATTTTTTTAAAAAATTTCTCCGCTAAGTAGAAAATGAAGAGTTACAATTTCAAAATGCTTTTTTTCTCCTTTTGATCACATCAAAGAATTTTTCAAATAAATAAAAGTCCCTTTATAGATGGGGGGTGCTGTTTAATGGCTCATTCCAACAACAAAAGCTCAGTTAATCCAGAATGGTTCAAATTTTCTAAATAATGATTTTGAAGATGTAAGGTATTAACAGGAATTAAAAGCCATGGTTCTTTGATTATACTCATTTAAAGAAAGAGAGATAAAAAATATGCAAGAAAAGAAACTAAGTCCTTGTTTTCAAGTAGGTTAGCATGCCTACCTTGATAAAAAGTAAAATCAATCAATAAATAAGTAAAAGTTTCTCATGCTAAAACTTTTATGAGGGGCCAAAAATATGTATTTTGTGGTTAAATAAATTTGGACTCAAATTCATTCCACCATAATTTTTTTGCCACAGCATACTAATTTCGCACAAATGCTGTATGCAGAACACATTCATTTACAAATTCTTTGAGTGGTAAATATAAAAAAGCTAATTGAGTTACTCTGTACTTAAATCAAGTAAACCCTTAAAATTATTTTCAATATTGTCATATAGGATGAAAACACTGGTACCCTAAAATGTATCTTTCCACTGTTGAAGTTAAGAACATGTTTACAGAACTAAAAACACAAGCATTTTCAGTCTAGTTCTGAATAAACAAGGAAAAACTTCCTATACAGCCTTATAAATAAATTGATGTCATAAGAAACCCTGACTTAGGTTTATTTATCTTAGAAGAGATAGCAAAGATGCCACTTTCAAGCATTCAAATATAGATGAAAAACAACAGAAGCCTTGAATAGTTGTCCTAAACCACAGACTGCATTATAAGCTTTGTCGATATAGATAGCCTTTTATAATAAATAATTCCCTTTGCTTATCCTCTTTCCCTTCACATTCATATGACATACAGTACCACATCACGTGGCATTCTTAGGGAACACACAGCTCAATACTCACCACTACAAAAAATAAAGAGTGCAGGAATCAATTAATCAAATCTCTTGAATAAAAAATATTTGAAATGAACCATGACCCACAGGATAACAGTAACCTGTATGAGATCACCATAGCTTTATTCCATCGCCTTCTACCATATTAGAATCACGTGGGAGGTAGCATCATTCTTCATTTATGACCAGGATCTCCCATAGGCATTGAATGAATGAAGCCTATATCTTCTTCCATCAAAATGAAAACAGAAACTAAAACATGAGATTTTCTGATGAGTATTTGTTTACTATTGTCTTACACAAAGTAGAGAAGTAGCTTTGAAAAGTTATCATAGCCATGCTTTTCGTAGGCTGCAGACTCAAACAGTTTAACTTAGAAATACATAGCCACATGAATGCAAATACAGGTTCTCTTTCCTTCATTCTTTTTGTTATAGAAAAGTGTATCTTTTCTAGATACACTTGTACATGTGATTCTGTGTGTGGATGTTCGTGTGAGAGGGAGAGACAGAAACAGAGAGAGAGAGTTATGAAGAGACATAATTCTATCTAGATGTTTAGATACTAAGTGATACGATCTTAAAGCCCACTGATTTTTCAGGAGAGGGCTTCTATGACAGGATTTATAGTATCCTTTAGGGGGCTTCTTGTCATACCAAGCACAATAAAATAAATATAACAGACTGATTTCCTACAGGGAAAAGTGAAGCTGAAATAATAACTGCTAAACCAATTCTAAGTAGAATTTTCAGAAACATGCACATGTTATCAGAAAAAAAGTGGCAATTAAGTTGGAAGGCAATTGATAGGCAAATTAATTTCTATTTAAGGTCCCTCAACCAGTAAGATAATAAATCTTGAAAAGCAAGACTCAGTCCCTTAACTAGGGACTAAGGGTACTAATAAACTAATTAAAATTATTAGTTTCATTTATATCTTTAACTCAGTGGGAACACCTGTCTTAATATCTTTTGCAAAAATCTTATGAAGACAAATTCATCCATAGTATCACCTCCAACTCACAGCAGTGTTGAAATGACATCCTTCATTAGATAAAATTGGCAAACCCAGATCAGAAGTGCTAATTCAATTCCAACAAAAGTCTTTGTTAGGTTTCATTTCAGTTAGGCTACTCAGATCAGCTTGTCACAGGTCTTTGACCTGCATTCTAGAATGGCACAATACACAATATAACCAGGACAATCATTAATAAGCATTGATACATGTTACTTTCCAAGAAGACAGTTTACTTTCCTAGCTGGCAAGGTAAGAATTAAAATGAAATATTTTTCAGATCTCTGTGTAAGATTAAAATATTATCAGAATGTGGACAGATTTATTGTAAAGAAGTACTATCTGAAATATGGCTGGAGAAATATAGTAGGTTTTGTTTTCTCTTTTTCTGAGCAGGATAATCCACATGGGCTTTTAATTGGTAAGTATATCAGTAATATTCTTTGCCTTGCTTTGTTATTCAAAGATTAAATCTATCTGAGTTAATGAAAATTATTTAATCCTAGAGCCTTAGTAATCTCAGTTTATTTAGGCCTCTATTTAAAGCTTGAGAACCTTTTGCAAACAAGACAAGGCTCCATAACAAAATGATAACCAATCTCTCTCTTAAGGCTATTTTCTGAAATCTATAGTCCATGACTGTTGAATTCTTCACTCCCCAAATCACATTAATATTTGACATGATGATAGAGAAAACAAAAAGAATTCATTTCTCCCAAATAAATATAGGCTATACTGCCTTTTTTTTTTTTAAACCATCCTCCTTTTATTCCATTTTGGTAAATTTCAAAGGCATATTTAAAATCTGTAGGATAGACCTTAGCTTAAGAGGTGGCCTCTCTGCCATTTTCATGGCTGATTTGAGACCCATTATGCACTCAATTCTGCATTGTGAAACCCAGGCTGGGGACAAATTTCTGCCTGTCATCTTAGGAAAGACCAGGAGTTTTGCACCATCCTGTAGTGGGAAACAGAAAATCAGAGCCAGGGTAGGATTGCCTGCTTCATTCTTAATCAGCTTGCTGCTTTTTGGAGACAATCTTGGCTGTCACCATATCAGACTTGAGAGGGTAATTTAGTAGTATAAAATATAGTTGAAACAACCTCTCCCTAGGGAAAGTTCCTCCTTACACTTAATATTGAATGCAAAAAGGTAATCATTAAGTAATCATTTGCTGCTTGGCTAAGAACCATTATATGGGAACACATTAGGAAGCACAAAATTCTTTTTTTAACCTGCTAAGACCCTGAATCAGGAGCCAAGAGGCCCAGACATTTTCCTTATATTGCTCATTCTGTTGCAAAGACATTCTCATAAACTCTAGCTTATAAACTGAATTTGCTGTATGTCTCATTCCAACAATGAGCTATAAATTGCAGAGATAAAAATAGCTTACAAAATTAAAAAAAAATTAAACAGTTCACTGAAGATGACAGTAAGAATAACTCTGTCAATGACCTCTCCTGTCTAATGTCAATTTCAGAAAACAAGTTTCCATTGTAAATGTTTAATCAGTGTAGTCCCAGGAACTCAGAGGAGAAAACCTTATCTTCTCTTCCAACTTATTTCCTCTGCAAGCTCTGTCCTAGCTCTATTTCAGCTCCATGCAAACACTTAAGGTTTTTCTCTCTTCAAAAGAACAAGGTTCCATATAGGTTCTGAGCTAAGCAGAAGCCCTGTGGTTTGATTCCATTAGTCAGAGCCCTGATCCACTGCAAACAAACTGCAGCATTTCTGCTAGCAAATCCTGGCAACCAGGTTCTAGAACTGACACAAACATAGGCTGCCACACATTCTACAAAGCTGTTCTGGCCAAACCTTGCCTGAAACAAGTTAACCACAGCAGAAATCATCCTACCTTCCATCATGGTGGCAGAATTGCATTCCTTAATTTCCAAGAAGTCTGAAAAAATACAGGAGGGTACAACTCCAGGTCCCAGCTAAGTCCTCACAATGCAGCTGCTGAACCGAGCTCTGTCTGCTACCAAAGCCAAAGGAGAGAAGTGTTAAGCCGAAAGATAGGCCATGGATGCTGTTAGTGCTGCTTCACCTAGAGGCTCCCCAGAAGATGCTGGGAGAGAAAGAGAGAGGAACAGCAAGCCAGCAGAGCTGCACCGCCTGCGCTGCCTCGGCCAATCCCTTCAGCTCTGGACTGCGTCACATGGTAGCCAGCCTGCATCTCCTGACACAATACCCTCGGAGAGCACACAGAACCTATTTCCCGTCCCCATTCTCCTCCACCCCCACCCCCTCCCGCTTGTCATCAAATGTACACAGCCCCTTCCCCACCAGGTGACGCACTTCCCCCGCCCCTCCTTATTTTCTTCTTAAGCCTATTGCAGCGGCTGGGTGCCCGAGATTAATTATCAGAGGCTGCCACCTTAACAGGGAACTCTGGCATGAAAGGCACACCGAAATGCCTCGCAGCTGCAAGAGATGTGTGTGTGTGTGTGTGTGTGCGCGCGCGCGCGCGTGCATATACGTGTGTGTATAATCTCTTGGTAATTCTTTGCAACCTGAAGTCTTAGATGCACGTTTTTAAGTTCCCATTTGCTCTGAAGAAATTCCAGTGTGTCAGGTCTGCGGCCTCCCAACACATCTGAGTCTCTCTCTCTCTCTCTCTCATTCAGTGTGTGTGTGGGGGGGGGGAGTTGGGGGGGGAGAATCTATCCTGCTGACGTCACATCATAAACAATTATCCCCAAAAGGATGATGCAGAAGAAATTTCACCCCAGCTGCCTTCAAGAGAGCCAGGGAATTAATCGCGCATGGCATGCCTAAGGGCTAGGAACTGTCATTAAAACAAAGAAACAAAAGAACCCTTCCGAGTGGGGCTCTGGGATCAAACTGGCAACGCTTGAGATCTTTTCTGGGGCGGGAAGGGGGAGAGAAGGGAGCAGGCTGGGACGCGAAGCCTTAGCTGACAGAGACAGCTGTGCAGGTTGCTTTCTCCTACTCCAACCTGCGTGGGAGGGCGGGTGGCACACAGGACCTGGAGGGGCTCAGCTCCAGTCTGCGCGGTTAGAATCCTGCAGCTAGCAGGATCCCCCTGCCCCAACAAGCACGTGAGCTCCCTGGCTTCCCCAGGTGGAGTGTGTTTTCAACTACCAACTGCATTCCCGTAAGAAACCAATTTTCTTCTGAACGACTAGTTTTTATTTACGCGTAATTGCCGGCAGCCCATTCGCTCATTCCAGCGGAAACCAGATCAAGGCGCTGGTGCCCAAGTCTGGCCGGAGGGGTGTGGTGGGCGGAGCCTAGGGTTTTGCAGTTTCCAGCGCTGGGACCTGGGTGCCCTGATGCTGCCTGCTTTGGCATAATTGTGGGATTCGGTTGGCTCAGATTAAGGATCCGTGTCCTGACTACTCCCCAGGGACCCCGGGAGCCTGACCGAGAAGGGCCTCGAGTTCTTTTCCAGCAGGCTCTGACAGCGAAGGAAGAAGAGGGCAGCATAGAGGGAGTAGAAGGAGGAGGAGAGTTGGGAAGGAAAAGGACTTATTAGAACCCCAGGGGATTACAAAAGACAAGGGTTTTTAACCCTATACAGTCAAGTGACAGGACTAGAAGGAAAAACCATTACCCGACTGAGCGATTGTGAACAGCAATGAAAGAAAGAAGTAAGAAGAGCTGAGTCTCTAAAACTTCTGTTGATCTTATATATGTATAAAACCATGAACTTGTAATATTGTTCAGTCCCTGGAGCTAGTCAAATCTTCCCACCAAAGTTTATCTATGAGGTACTGGTGACTGAAAACTACTAAATAAATCATAGCTGAAGAAGATGACTGCAGTAGCACATGAATAGTTTAAAAACAAAAACAAAAATCAAAACTAAGTTCCTTATTAACTCGGAAGTCTTATAAAGCTCATATATATATATATTTTTTTTTTTTCAAAATGAAACCCTCTGGAGAGATACACATATTTGTCTCTTTTTTCCAGATAGCTATGAAACAGATTAACTTTTATTTATTTATTTACACTATTTTTCATTTTACAACAATGTTTACTTTACCCCTCCCTCACCTGTCATCACCATAGCCCCCTCCCACATTCCTCCCTCCTTCTGATCCCTCTTTGTCCCCCTCCCCTGTAGGAATTCTTGGCTTATAATGAGATAGATGAATTTTAAAAGAGGAAAGAATTCCAAAATAAAACCTGTCTTAGCACAACTTACACAGCTCTGAAAACTGCAAAAAAGCAAAAATTGATTAGTGTGTATGTATGTAGCTGAATTTCTGAAATCATTACTGAAATAAATGTTAGTGCCAAACAGACTGGGACCAGGGTCTGCTTCTGCCACTTGAGTTGTGATTCTGTACAAGATATGTAACTCTCTGTGCCTCACAGTTTCCTTATCTGTGACATGGAGGCAACAATAATAATAATATGAAGCTCATAGGGCTATAAATAGAAGTAATAATAAACTTGTATTAATGGCTTGCTATGTGCTTAGCAAATACATTGCCAGTAAATTGCTTTGCATTGTGTCTGGAGCATAATAAACCTCCATGTCAGCCTTTTAATATTAGTATCATTATTACCAAAGTGCTGCCAGAGGCATCAAAGAAATTTGTGGTCAAACAGAGTTATTCTAGATATTCAGAGAACAGCTTAGTGAACCATCCAGATATGTGACAAGTTGGAGGATTCTGACATACTGCTTGCTGTGTATAGGAGTGATTATAACCCACTGAAATTTGCTTAAGTTGAGATTTACTTAGGAAGGACCTCTGCAGAGATGGCATTTTAGAGTTTAGGAGAAGATAGAATTAATTTGAAGCAGTTCTATTGTCTTTTTAATTAAAAGAAATGTTAATATATTCATTACATCATCATCCTTCATTTTTGTACAATGTATGATTTCCCCATGACATTCCCACCATCAATTTACCGGTGCACCATCACCATAGTCTCTTGTGCTCTTCACAGTCCTGTCCTGGTCCTTTTCCTTCCTCCTCCCTTAAAGAAAGTCTCTGTTCTATAGCCGCCTGATGATTTTGATTTTTACTTTATTATAGCTACCTTTTTTTTCTAAAGTAGTTCTAAATAAGATATGTAAATAAGAGAATAATGCATATAAAACCTGAAAGTTAAATATAGACAAGGAGTGCCAAGTTAGGAGACACTGCCTGAGAACCCAGGCTGCCTGCCTTCCACACCCAGTATAAGTTTTACATGTGTTAGAGGACCCTTTCAGATAAAAGTCAGGTATGGATACACATCAGTTTTGTTTTGTTTTATATGTGCAGCAAGGCAACTTGTTGGGGACAGAAAGACAGTTCAAAAAGTCTTTTCATCAGTTGGATGTTTTAAGGAAAAGAAAAGATGTCTAATATGCTTGTCAGTGAAGGACCAGGAGAGGGGTATGTGTTTAAAGGTGGAAGGTTGGTTCCAAGACTAATTAAATGTTGTGTGACTTGATCAAGAAGATGCTATTACCAATTGTAAGAACACCCAATAAACAGAGTTCTGTTTCAAATTTAAAAAAATTGTTCAAGTATGTTGTCAGAAAAGAATTAAGCATCCTAATTTTGTCTTCTTATCAGTTTTTGAAAAAAAGAAAATTTTTCTGAAGAACAAAAACAGAGCTTTTAGGTCATGGCCCAAATTTCATCATCTCATACTATAGTTATTTACCAACAAGTACAAAGGAGGATTTCCAGTTGCTAAAATAATGGAATTTATTTTGCAAGATTTAGGTGGAAATCAAAGATCTGTGGAAAACATTGGCTAAGTGATTGACTTGTAACAACTTGCAAGGATGGCCCAGGCGCTGAGTGCAGGGCTGTGCTTGCATGCTCAATTCATGCCATGCACAGATAGGCCTGTAACTAGTCCCGGACTAAAAGCTTCATTGTTAAGGTCAGTAGGCATATTTTTTGCTGAAATAGTTTTTGTATGGTGTTAATACCCTAGACATGTTTTCCTGGAGTCAAACTCTATTATATTCTTAGTATAAAATTAGAATTCTGTATTATTTCCCTATTTTGTCATTTGGAGGAAAGTCTGTTCATATTTCAGAAAAAGAAAAACATGAGAATTCAGTCACAAAGGAATGAAGAAAGTTAACAGAAGGAAAGTTAAACAAATGATCCTGATAGATAGATCTATATGTATGTATATATATTTCTCCAAGATAGTGACCTTAGGATGACATTTGACACTGTCCCTCTTGCTAGGAATCTTGTAAGGCAAGATTCCTACTTGAAGAGATAAAAGTTCCATGAAATAAGATAGATGAAAGAGCAATGTGTATGTCTCCATACTATTTATTGTATCTTGGTTAACATGAAGAATTCTACCTGGCATTGACATGGGCAAAGAGGGGATTTATTTGAGTAGTTTATAAAATTAGATGAACTTCACACGTGGGAGCAAGCAGGAGCCCTGTTATTCCACCAAACTTAGTTCCCAGAACCAAGTACTCTTAATTCTGTTTCTCCCAGCCTGTCAGCTTCTTTTTTTCTTACTAGTTTTTCTCCCACAGATAAGGGTACTGGTCATTTAAGTCATGTAAGCCAAGTCAATCAAGGTCCTTTGAAATACTTATTTTTTTAAATCAATTATATAATTATCAAATGAATTTCACTTTTCAAAAGTGTATATTTAAGACTTTTAATTACACAAATGGTTCATATTTGTGGTTCACATATTTTTATGGGACAGTTCTGGTCCAAATACTGACAGAAAAACCAACACAATAAACACTGTGGACAAACGAGGTGGATTAAATTAAGAGACTGTTTGTTAGTGGTATATATAACAACATACACACCTATGCTTTCTTTTGATTTTTTGTGTTCTCAGATCTTATATCCAAGAAATTAATACACTTTGAGTTAATTTTTTTGTATGGTGTTAAGAAAAGATCTAGTTTCACTAATTTTGCCTGTGACTGTTCTTATTTTCTAACATTTCTTGAAGAGTTTTTCCTTTCTCCACTTTATGCCTTTTGCTCCATTGTCCAAAATAAAACTTGCTACATTTGTGTGATTTTATTTCTGACTTCTGTTCCACTGGTCTGTTTCTGTTTTTGTTCCAGTACCATGCTATTTAGTGTATAGTTTGAAGCAGGGAGTGTAATGTTTCCA